CGTTGCCACAAATGACGGTAATACATAAAAAAAAAGTTTCTAAGCATGGTCATCAATTTAAAAGTGTGCAGCAACGTGTTAAACACTGTTGATCATGTAAACTCATCAGTTTTACTTTGTGAGAGTTGTATCCACGTCAATCTGTCCACTGCGGTCACTTTTCACTGGAGAGTCAATCTGTCCACTGCGGTCACTTTTCACTGGAGATGGAACACTGGAATAAATCCGGGGAAGTTTGCAAATTGGACTTGCTTGCTCCCTTTTGAAATGACAATTTAGTCTCGGTTGTGCTATCTGATCTGGGGTGAGGCTTTATTCTTGGAACCTGTGGTGTTCCTTTGTCCAGGGCAGGTGGGGGGAACCACTGAGAATTTGTGGGTTCTTGATGGTTTGGGCTCTTTAGTAAGGCATTTTTCTAATAATTGCACAGCATATTGTACTGCTAACCAGAGGACGGAGAGGTTCAGATCCACTGATACCTCCTTGAGAGAAAGATAGGCAGTCTCCTTCCTTTGAGATTTACAACCTTAAAAGCCCAGGGGAGGGGTGCTGGGAATTGCACATGGTGATAATGGGCTTGCTTTTTGATTGTCTTCTTGTTTGAAGCAGGCGATATAGAATAATAGAGACAGCACAGGAATGAGACGAGGGTCTTGGCTGTAATGCTGCTTCTTGTTAGTTATGTGAATTTTCAACTTCCATGTTCAAATTCTTCATCTGTAAAGCAGATAATTTGGACTTTGTTATTATTAAGTGTGGTAGGGGTGGCTCTGACACATAGCAGTCTTATGTTGTTATGTGATGTCAAGTTGCCTGCCACTCATAGTTACCCTATGTACAAGAGCCCTGAACCCTACTCTGTCTTGAGCCAACTTCATTGTCTATGACAAGCCTATCTCATTACTGCAGTCACTGAGTCAATTCATTTCATCCAGGGTTGTCTTCTCTGGTGCTGTCCTCCCACCCTTCCAAGCATGATGTCCTTCTTTAAGGACTGGCCTCTTTTGGCAACATGCCCAAATTATGTCAGATAGAGCTTCAGAATCCTTGCCTCCAAGGAGCAGTCTGGTTTCATCCTCTCCAGGATGAACCTTTTTGTTCTCCTAGCAGTCCATGAATATATTCAATACTCTGCTCCAGCACCACAACTCAAAGGCATCAGTTATTATTCTACAATCCTTAGTCATTGTCCAGCTATCTGATGTAAAGCAAGTAATGGTGAAGATCAAGGCCTAGATCAGGCAGACTTTAGTCTCCAGACTGACATTGTTTCTCTTCAGTACTCTAGGGAGGTCCCTGACAGCAGTTTTTCCCAATGCAATTTGTCTTTTGATTTTCTGGCTGCTGGTATCAAGAGTGTTGATGGTGGAGCCAAGCAAGCTGAAGCTGTGAACAACATCAGTCTCAATTGAAGGACTGCACCCTTCAATATGGATTGAATCTCAACATCAAGAAAACAAAGATTCTCACCACTGGGCCAACTGACAGCATCATGATAGATGGTGAATAGATTGAGATTATTTACCTTACATATAACAGATTAAAACCTTGGTGTATCCTGTGCCATCCTGACAATCGCTGCTGCGCCCAAGCCCTGCATTGCAGTCACTGTTAGTCCATTTATTTCACTTTCTGTGGCTGACCTAGTTCCAAGGACTAGCCTCTTCTGTAGTCTCATTGATGGCATCTAACAACAACATCAACAGCCCCTTTTGAAGCACGCACAATGTGTGAGATAAAATCTACCTATCTTGACCTGTACTGTGGTCTGGTGTCAGCAGCCCCTTAAACTCTGACAAGAGGGGTTTTGAAGTGGATCTCACACTTCAGAGGACCCTGCTTTGCTATTATTTGATTATTTCCTCCCCCATGAGATGGAGCCAGGAGGCTGTGCCTACCTTGAACATACACAACCCCCCTTTTAGGCCCTATTTGAAATATTAGAAACCCTTTAATTTCCTAGTCTAATGACTCCAGGCTCACTTCCTGTGTGAGGCTTCTCCTGAGAGCCATGCATATGATTAATGTATCAAGGCCAAAGGATGACTAAGGGACAGCTGTTTGTGGGAAGGAATGAATAGAGTTTGGGTATACATCTGGACATCTACAGAAGTATGAGAGGCTCCTTTCAATGGAGATGTGAAGAGAAGAGGGGCATGACTGCTTCTCTCCATTCTAACATTCGTTCTAACATCAGTTCTAATGTTCTAACATCAGTTCTAATGTTCTAATATCAGTTCTAACGTTCTAACATCTGTTCTAAAATTCATTCTAACATTCTAACATTTGTTCTAACACGTAATTCTAAGGAGCTCAAAAGGTCTAAATTTCAACCTCCTTTTCTAAGATAATCATGAAAGGAGATTTGTCATAGTAGAAGATTACAGCTTATTTCCTTTAGAGTGTGGTACCTTGGTGTGTAGCATATTAAGACATGTGATATATGGAATTTTATTTGCCCTGGGTTTCACAAATATATAGGGTTAAGCTTCCACCTCCATGACCAGTGCCCCCCTCTCTAAACTGATGCTGTTGGCAGACATAGCTAATTGATGCAGACTATCTCTCCCATTTCTATTGAATGTGACCTCTGAATCTTTTCCTTACAGCCACTGCTAGAGGACCTACGTTGGTTCACCAGTTGAAGTCTAGTTTTCATTTTTATACCTGACAATCTGTAAATTTGCTGTTCTTGACTCATAGGCGATTTAATCCTGCCTTCTCTTACCTGGAATCTGGTGCCCTGGAAGGGAGGGTCACCACCAAACAGCCTCTGTTTCTAATCCTTTTAGTTCACTAGTATCATGAATGGAATATAAACTAGAGTTATTCTGATTTCTTCCATGCTATTTGGATCCCTATGCCTTTGAATTGTGATGTTGGGGAAGAATATTGAAAATACTGTGAACTCCCAAAAGAACAGACGAATCGGTCTTACAAGAAGGGCAGCCAGCGTGTTCCTTAGAAGCAAGCATATGGATTGACACAGTGACCACAGTGGATTTAAGCACAGCAGAGAATGGTGCATGTCAGGCTATCATGCTGTTTTAAGTACAATCACTATGAGTGGCCTAACAGTCTGATTCTTTGGAGATTATCTAGTATAGAGTAAGCTAGGGAGTGTGAGGTGTCTTGTCTCAAGATGGGCATAAAAGTGTTCTATGTGTGTTGATGAGATTTATTTTGAAGTTTATAAAAGCATTCTGACTCATCCTTTTGCCTTTAAAAGAAAAAAAACCCAACCCATTGCTGTGAGTCAATTCTAACTCCTAGCACCATCTAGGACAAAGTAGAGTTGCCTTGTAGTGTTTCAGAGGCTGTAAATCTTTATGAAGCAGACTGCCTCACCATTCTCCCTTGGAGAGGTTCGTAGGTTTGAAACACGCATCTGAGCTAGCTGCTCAGTGCTTAACCTCCTGTACCACTGGGCCCCCTTGTCCTTTGGCTATAGTTTTCAATATATGAGAACAAATTTTAAGTAAATACTTGAGTTTATAACATAAGTTTATGACTAAACAAACACATCATTCATCAGCTTCACCTATCCCTACCTTCCCCTCATCCTTTAGACCAAATCTAATGGACTTGGCTTTATGGAACCTCTAAAGGTGAGAAAAAAATTCCAAAGATAAGGTCCTGAGAAGTCCCCGCTTCTAGCATCTCTGGATTTTTGATGTTTCTGAGGCCCTTGAATCTTCATAAACGACTGGTATAGAAGGGCTACTTGTGTGACTTAAGGTTTGTCAACCTTGGCCCCTTTCCCTTCTCCTTGACTAAGAAATTTCTGCTCTAAGTGTTTTCCTCCCTACCAGCAGCTGCGACAGGTCATAGGTCCCCAACTACTGGGAGAGAGTGAAAATGAGCTGTAAATCCTTTAAGAATCTGAAGTGTGAGGTTCAAATTGGATTGCAAGTTCATTACGTGGGTGGGATGGGGGGACCTGAGGTGAAACTGCTGCTCACCAGCTGTGTGACCCTGGATAGCCCCTGGACTTCTCCTGGACACAGTGTCCACATCTGTCCACTGAAGAGATAGGACTGCCCGAACTCTAGGGTTCTTCCAGGTCCAGCATGCAATAGACTTTGTTTTTCTGCTTTTATCTGATGTTACTCCTTTGTTTAGACAGTGAAGAAAGTTCAGTGGGACTATCAGAGACTTAAAGAGTAGTTGGAATTGAATTTCTTTATCTGTATTGTTGCTAGATGCCATTGAGTCCATTATAACTCATAGTGACCGTATGAACAACGAATCTGAACCTTGTCCTATCCTGTGACAGCCTCATTATTTCTGACATACTTGAGCCGTTGCTGTTGTCACTGTGCCAGTCCATCTCGTTGAGGGTCTTCCTCTCTCTCACTGACCCTCCACTTTGTCCCTCTCCAGGGAAAAGCCTCTCCTCACAACATGGACAAAGAATGCAACATGAAGCTTCATCCTCGTTGCTTCTAAGGAGCACCTTGGCTTCGCTTTCACTTTCTCCTGTTTGTCCTTTAGGCAGTCCAAGGGATATTCAGTACATTCCTCCAACACCACAATTCAAAGGCATCAATTCTTCTTCTGTCATATTTATTCATTGTCCAACTCTCAGATTCAAAGCAAATGACGGAAAAGATCATGATCTGAATCAGGCACACTGTAGTCTTCAAACTAACATCATGTCTCCTCAATAATTTGGAGAGGTCCTTGACTATACTTTCTCAGTGCAATATGTCTCCTGATCTCCTGACTGCTGGTGGCAAGTGTACTGAGTTGTGGATCCAAGTAAGACAACGTCATTGACAATTTCAATGTTTCCTCCATCTATCATGATGTCATCTATAGGTCCAGCAGTGAAAATTTTTATTTTCTTGATGTTGTTTTATAAAGGTTGAATTCTTTCCGATGCCAGTCACTGGTAGAGGGTTTTAGAGGTCTGGGAAAATTCTAAGGACATAGCACAATCAAACTGGGTATATTCTCCTTGAGAAAATAAACATCTTAATTGCTTTTTTCTCTTATAGGCGACATCACTGTCCACATATCCCTACGAAGATTTATGATAAAAGTGACAAATCGTGTCTTCTCTCCGAGTATACCGACAACTACCCTCTCTATCATTCTTACCTGCCCAGAGAGTCTTTCAAGCCCAGGCTCGAGTTCAGGAAAGGATCCATACCGATGGAAAGCCTGACCACGACGAGGTGAGGGCGAGGAGTATGGTAGGGATGGGATAGCATTAAAGCAGCGATGTGTACAGTACGGATGTATACTAAAGTACTAATGGTTTACTAAACAGTGTCAAATCCTGTATTAGTATTTTAATGTACTCTGTTGCTGAAAGCAAATCTTGTTAAACTGTATTATTATTTGGTATAACTTTACAGAGCAAATTTGTTTTCTACTCAGCAATTCCTACGCATTTTGTTTTGTGACATTGAGTGCAGTTTCCGTAATACAGCACTCTTCCCAAAGCCTCCTTGATTTTGCTGTTTGCAGTTCTCCTTCTGTTGCACTCCTTCCGGCCTTCTGCGTGTTATTGCTGGACAAGTGCTGCTCTATAGATCTCTCAGAGTTGATTGTGATAAGGAGGGCGTTTGTCTCTGGTGTTCAAGTTTACCTTATAGACTTGTCAGTTGTTAGGCCAAAAGTTGAGCCATGGACGCATGTGTGAGTGATTACTGGGCTTGAAGGATGACCAAAGCTATCATCTTGGGGGTCTTACACCACGAGGGTGCTAACCCAAAGTGTAGAGGTCTGACATCATCAAAGGTAACTTGAAAGAAACCTAGCGAGCGACTTCCGAAAAAACCAAGTAAAATCCCTGTGGAGCACATGGTCTGTTCTGGTACTGCGGGTCAGACTCACCTCAGTGGCAGCTGGTGGAATGTTCTTCAAGAAATATGAACCAAGACTAGACTTTCAAGTTCTTCTTGCCTTTCAAATTTAGATTCTTTAGATCCACTTGAGCAACTTATTAGGGTTGTAGAGATGTTTGTGGTGTTATTATTGTTTATTGTCGAGTCACATAGCTGACCCTCCAGCAGGTTTTCAGAGACATTAAATCTCACTAGACGAGACTGATCATCTTTCTCTTGAGGAGCAGCTGACGGATTCGAACCGCATACCTTTGTGTTGGCAGTGCAATTTCTTACCACTAAGTCTATACTGAGAGCGTAGGACAAATTATATCAACTCCAGGTTGCAAGAGGGAGAGCTCTGGTGGCAGAGTCTATAAGGAGTTGTGTTGCTAATGCAAAGACTGGGCCTCTCCAGAGGTTTGAACCCCCCCCAATGGTTCCTGGGGAGAAAGGCAGCAATCTCCTCTCATGCAATTTACAACCTTAGAAACTAACTGAAGGGCCATCCAAGAACTGAATCCAACTCGAGGACAATGAGTGAGTGAGTCAGGTTGCCTGATCCTAGCCGTATCTACTGTTGGTAGCCAGGCTAGCAACCTCCCGGTTGGAATCTCTGACTTGTGACTCAGTGAAGTCAAATCATCTCTGAATACAGTTGGGCCAAGTCTCCGAGTGTGTAGTTCTTAGTGAGGAGGAGAGAACATTATGTATGCCAAATGTTCCAGCACAGGTTGGCCTATTATAAGTGCCCAGCACATGGTAGCTTTTCTTCCAAATGATTCCCATTTACCTCATAATTTTGTGCTTTTCTGTGAAAGGTTCCAGGTGGCTCAGGTGAAACAGACAGTCCTAACTTACTCCACCTCACTTTCTCCCCTTGTTGTTCTTTGGTTCCTTGGCTTGTAGATGATCGTCCCCAGGACACTCTCTCTGTTGCAGTTAGAGATGGGAGGCATGAAACCCTGGGCCACAGGTAGTCCCTGTCAGTTACGGGCGGAGGACCCATGAGGTGGAGAAAGAAGCCAAGGAATTCTTGAGTTTGATGGGAAGGACTGAGTAAGACCATCTTGAGGTAGGAGGAGTGACGGCCCTTTGCTTGATGCTGGATTTGAATCAAGTCGATTTTGATCGGTTAGATTAAATGATTTACGTGTAGTATTTCTGGATTAGGATCCGTTGGAAATTCTGTTATGCTTTTAACCCAAGACTTTTCAAACAATATGAGCCTCAAAGCCTCTGGGACTTCATTTTGCCAGAAACAAAAGGAACCCACATTCCTCTGAATCTTTTGTTATTTATGCATGTGAAGGTCACAACAGAGTCCCAAGTGGTACAGTTAGCACATTCAGCTGCTGAACAAAAGATGAGATTCAACACCACCCAGAAATACCTGCAAAGAAAGGTTTGACAGTCTTCTTGCAGAAGATCAGCCAGTGAAACGCTCTGCATTACATACAATTCTGCTTGAACACACAGAGTCAACATGAGCTGGAATCCACCTGAAAGCAACTGGCTTTTAAAGCCCTCCAGAAATGTGGACCTCTCTGAGCATTTACTTTTCCTTTTAAGTGAAGAGCTCCTGGCACATGGCTAAGTGGTACTTGCCTGGTAGAAAGGTTAGATGGAACAGTGATAAGCAGTTGGCATCCTTTAGGTCCAGCTGCTCTGTGCTGGACTTCTAGTAGGAAAACAAAAGCTCATTGCGGGGTAGGAAGCATGGCGTACAGCGCCAGATACTGCTGTGTCAGGGTCATAGTTCCTCTCCTGGCAGTACAGGAAAAGAGGCTTTGAGGGCTGGTTGACGAGTGATGCTATTTTCTACCCACACACTTAGGACAATGAGGAGAGACCGTCCTCTGAGCCGGAATCCTGCCTGTCACCTAGAGTTGAGGTCTCCCAGATGGGACCCCACCTCCGTCCCTCCTCCTGCTGGCTCTTTGCAAAACAAAAACTTCACCCTCTGACCTGCCCTAAATTATCCTTGCCTTGTGTCGCTTACAGCAATAAACATATCACCCAGAAGGCCCCTCTGCCCCTGCCAGAAACAGAGGAGCAATAAATATCATTCAGGTCAAGATGAGCTCCAAGTGGAGGAAGGCAGATACGGAAGGAATTTCCAAAACAAGCTGCTAATGATGGTCATACCTCTCCTGTCGAGATGGCTCCAACTCAGTGACTCTGAAGCCCCAGTACAACTACTCCTCAGGGCTTTCCGCTGTAAATCTCCTTGGAAGCTGACTGCCACATGGTTCACCTGCAGAGCAGCATGCTGTCAACTAAGACATTTAGAGACCTTATGAACATCTGCTCCGAAACTTTCCCTATCCGGAGCCAACCTCACCATTTGATCACCTGACCCCATTGCCACAGTCACTGTGTCAATCCATCTTATCCAGGGTCTTCCTTTACTGCGTGGATTCTCTACATTTCCAAGCATGATGTCCTTCTCCAAGGACTGATCCCTCCTGGCAACATGGCCAAAGCATGTCAGACAAAGCTTCAAAGTCCTTGCCTCCAAGGAACAATCTGGTTTCACCTTCTCCAGGACAGACCTATTTGTTGTTTTGGTGATCCGTGATAAGTCCAATACTCTTCTCCAGCACCACAACTCAAAGGTACTGATTCACAGGAGGAGATTGCCTTCTTTCTTTCAAAAAGCAGCTGGTGGATTCAGACCTTGTACCTATCAATGGTAGAGCTCTTTGTCATTAGGCCACCTTTTAAAGAAAATGTGGCAGGGGGGAAAACATTACCTGTGGGGGATGAGGGAAGGAGCAGAAATAATTATCCCCAAAAGAACCAAGGAGCAGAAGGGCATTTCTTCTCTCTCCTGTACCTGAATGTCACTCAGACCTTTGCCTACCACTCAGGGCACCAGCCTTTTAAAGACCAGGAACAAAGTTTGTGTCTCATGAGAATCTGCTGGGATAAAGGGCGTACTGGCTGTGTCCACACAGAGAGTTACCTCTGTGGCCCTTAAAACCCTCTTCCCAGAACGCCCCTTCTCTGTCCAGAGTTTTTGAGGACTGCCACCTGCTGAATGCAAAAGTCATGTGGCCCAGAGCTTGGCTTGTGATTAAGCCCAGACACAAAAATCACCTGGTTTCTGGGAAGGTTATCCCCCCAGCATGAGGTGTGATTACAGCTGCGCTCAGTGCTTACCATAAATCTGGGGGATTTACAGCAGGTGCCTTGAAGGGATGCTCATGATTTCCAGCCTGCTTAGTTTGAAACCGTTTCTTACAGCCTTTGGTGATTCTCTCAGAATGATCTTCCTTTAGTTCAGATAGTTCAATTTATGACCAAGAGGTATGCACGTCGAGCCTCATTTCCTCTTAGGCATGTCACCATGTAAAACACTTGGGTCTCGTTTCGGGACATTATTTCTGCTAGCTACACCAGCTCCCTAACACTGGGCATCATGAATCACTACAGAAGAAAGAGGTGAGTCTTCAAGATGCTGTTAGACTTTTCTCCTGCAGGGAGTGGGACCAGGAGTAACTTGGGATGGAGAGGCAGAGAAGATGGAATCATTTTCAGACTTCATAGGTCTGACTTGAGGCAAGAGGATACGGTCTCCTTCAATGATGAACAACATTCTTTGGTAAACCAAGGTTAACTATTTTAGCAATCTAGGACTGTTGTCACAGAAACACCACACACCAAATTTATTTTCTCACAGTTTAGGAGACCAGAAGTCCAAATTCAGAGTGCAAGCCTGAGGGAAAACATTCTTTCTGGCTTGGCTTTGGGAGAAGGAAGATTCTGGTTCCTGGGTGATTTTCATGTCATGCTCCTTCTATCTTCACACCTCTATGCTTTTGCCTGTTAGATTCTATGGCAAAGGTGATTGACTTAAAACACACCTTACTGATATGGCCTCATTCACATAATAAAGAAAATTCTATTCCTGAGTGGGAATATATCCACAAGTGTAAAAACCAAACCAAACCAAACCAAACCAAACCAAACCAAACCAAACCAGTTGCCTTAGAGTCAATCCAGCTCATCAAGACAGAGTAGAACTTCCCTTGGATTCTTTCAAGGTGGTCCACTTTTATGGAAGCAGAATACCATGAATTATTTGAGGGAGTGGCCAGCGGAGTCAAACTGCTGATCATTTGGTGAATGGTCAAGTGTTTAACCATTGTGTCATAGGAGTGACAAGACAATTTTTTTAAACAACTCAAGAATAACAATGAAAGGTGGAAGAGCTAATAGAGAATGGATATTTATTTTAGTTCCCATGTCCTGCTATAACAGAAGTACATGAGTGGGGGATTTAAATAATAGAAATTTGTTTTCTCACAATCCTAGAAGCTAACAGTCCAATTTAGGGTCTC